GACATTAAGTATTTCAGTTATTCTAATTCTTTGCACAATTATGTAAAGTTTAATTACTATTAAGTAATTAACAAAACACTGTAGGACTAGCACTAAAGATTTCAATTTGTTTTACATGAAATTATTCATTGAATAACCTAAATAAATCTAATCTTATTACCTATTCAATCGAATAAATCTTATTTTCAGACCAAATTAGCAACAAAATATAGGAAGGGAGCTTGTGAAAACTGTGGAGCAATGACACACAAAAAGAAAGACTGTTTAGACAGGCCTAGAAAGGTAAGTTTCATAGTAGTTCATCTGTTTACCTAAATCCTAAGTGCTACAACTAATTAGCACCACTCAAAACTACCATAGCTAAGAAAAGTTTTTTAAGTCCACACTGTCTGATTTCCCCAAATCCTGTCTAATTTTTTTAAACACTTAAACATTAGGATTTTCTCCTGCGTCATGGGTGCAAGTTCACATACACATGGTGCCCAGACCCGAAACGGCAGCAGGCTGCCCAGCCGCCACACCAACCGTGCAGCAGCTTCTAGATAGTATTAAAGTTTGAATTAATATAACAAGTTTTACACATTTACAGATTGGAGCCAAATTCACAAATGCTGGTATTGCAGCAGATGAGTTTGCGCAACCGAATCTGAATCTGAGTTATGACGGCAAGCGTGACAGATGGAATGGTTATGATCCTCAGCAGCACAAGGCTATCATTGAAGAATATCAGAAAGTTGAAGATGCTAAGAGAGAACTCAGAGCTAAGAAGTTGGAACAAGGTATGAAATAAAACTTCAACTTCATCTTGTTCATCTGAAAATGAAGTTGAAGATATATTCTTTGACCTAATATACCATTCTGTTAATTTATTTTTTAATTCATAATAAGTTATGTGTGGCAAGGTAGAGTATACATATACATAGTATGTCACAAATAGGCTATAGAGTAGATGTAATGTCATATATTATATGTACATACTTTTAATCATAATTCAATTATTTTATGTGTGTGGGTATTTAAGGCCTATTTATAATGGTCTGGTTTTCAAGATTTTCCATAATATTGAATACTAAAGACAAATGTGTATTATTATTCCAGATCCAACAGCCACTGAGGATGACGACAATGCTGAGGAAGATGAGGACAAGTATGTAGATGAAGTGGACATGCCTGGTACTAAGGTATGCATAATGTTATATGATGTTATCTTGTTATTGATTTATTGAGAAGCAAATTAGTGTTAATGAACTGTAAAAAATACTTGCTTATTATAATTTAATTGTGTGTATGCCATTGTTCCTGTTAAACACAGTGCCCCACTCACATGTCCACAGGGACTAGTCACCAGTCTACAGTACTAGTCACTAGTCAACAGTTTATGCTTAAACAATCTGTGAAACCAATCGAAATTGAAACTGCTTCTTGTACCTGGAACATTGTTTTGTAAAACTTTTTATAAAGACTTATTGAGGTTGTTTTTTTTTTTCAATACATATCAGTTAATTTAGGATTTAATTTAATATTCGTTTAAGCAAGTAATTGTTCATACAAAATGTTTTTATATTTTTAAGCATTCTGTGAGTATCTTTTATTTGCTTGTAGCTGTAGGGGTTCTTATAATGAAGCTACCTGAGGCTGGTTCTCTGATCGCTTCTTGTAAATTTCCACTCCCAGAAACCGTTATTTCGCTAGTGCTTTTATGTAGGCAGTATATACAAACTAAAGCGGAAGGCACAAGTCAAAATTATTTATTTTCCTGTTATAATATTTGCTTAACCACTAAAATCAGTAATAAAGCAATCAAACAATTATATTGAACGTGAAGCGTGCACAAGCTGAAGCGAAGGCGAAAGGCGAAGTGTGTCGAAGCCACGTCATCGACAACCATTTATATCAGAAGTAGCCATGTTAGAAGAGGGCGTTGCTTGCGCACGAAGGATTCAACGACCACCTAGAAAATAGGCGGGGCTGCGCATCATACGACGTCGTCTGAAAATCGCCACGTGTGACGTAGTAGTGGCGTGATTTTTCGAGGTGCCACTGCTCATCAGCTGCATCGCTTTAAATATCGGATATGATCGCTACAATAATAATCGTTTTTTTTGAGAGAGTCGTGCGTTCTGCCAAAGTAAAATCTCAGATAGGCGACGCGATTGATACTCGCACGCGTGTACGTGTCAATGGATAAAATATTGTATTTATTTCAGGTGGACTCAAAACAACGTATCACAGTGCGTAACTTGCGTATCCGAGAGGACACCGCCAAGTTCTTGCGCAACTTGGACCCCAACTCCGCTTACTACGACCCCAAGACGCGTTCCATGAGGGACAACCCTAATCCTGCTGCGGCTGAGTAAGTTGTTCATTATCCACTCACACCTCCATGGAGGCTGTCACAAGCCCCTTAAATTACTTTAAACCCATCTAGCGGTTTATTTTGGCATTATAAGTACTATCAAAAACTACTAGATGGCTCTGTATTAATAACTATAATCCCTGAGAGTAATTTTGATATTAGTTTGAGCAAATAATGGATAATAGAAATAAATTATGTATTGTTTCAGCATTATGTGAGTACTTTTTTTTCGCATGTAGCTATAGTGTTTCTTAAGTAATTATAGTAAAATTATAGTTAAATGTATACCATGTGAAATGAAATAATGATTTTTTAAATACATATTTATATGCAAGGAGCACACATTCTAATAAATTATATAACTGTTTGTCTTCAGATCAGACTATCAAGGCGAGAACTTCGTCCGGTTTAGCGGAGACACTCGTTCTCACGCGGAAGCCCAGATGTTTGCATGGGAGGCACAGTCCCGCGGCCTCGACGTACATCTACTGGCCGAGCCGACCAAGCTGCAACTACTGCAGCGACAGTACCATCATAAGAAGGACCATTTTAAGTCACAGGTAAAGTTACTTTATTTTATTTACACCAATAACGCCCTTAAAGTCAAATAAAATACCCAAATGTCAATATTTGCTAAAGCAACCAAAGTAAACAGCTAGAGCTGTTTATCTAAAAACTAAGAGAAAAGAAAAGTTAGTCTAACTAAAAACAATTTTTCAAGCACAGACATTAAGTTAAGCAGTAATCTGTGTGGCCTCAAACGATGTTTTATCATTACTAATCTACATAACAATATATTCGCAATTTATAATTAATTTCAGGTGAAAGAATCCATACTAGAGAAGTATGGTGGCGAGGAACATTTGGCCGCTCCCCCAAAGGAGCTGCTGCTGGCTCAGACGGAAGTGTTCACGAGATACAACAGAGACGGTACACTCGTACAAGGACCTGAGAAACAGCTCGCTAAGTGAGTACATAACTACATACATGGTATACGGATCTCTCCTTCATACTTGGAAAATGAGTTAAAATCTCAGTTTGAAATCACCATAAGACAGTAACTCTCGAAAACAAGGCAAACTAAGCTTTACTAATGTTGTTTGTGTTATTTTTAGGAGTAAATATGAAGAAGATGTATTGATAAACAACCACACGTCCGTGTGGGGTTCGTACTGGCACGATGGACAGTGGGGATACAAGTGTTGCCACTCCTTTATAAAGGTATGTACTTTTCGATTATTGTTGACACTGCATATTAATTATATTTCTCTAAACTATTTTAATGTTATTTATTTTTTAATCAGATGTCGTACTGCGTCGGCGAGGCCGGCAAATCCGTGGTGTTGGATGTGTCTGAAGAGAAAGCAACCGTTTCACAGGAACACATAGAGAAAAAAGAAAAAGGTAATAACCATTGATCCTTATATTTTGTAGCTGTAGACTCACTGCACTTCTTTATTGTAGCTGCTCAAACTTAGTTTTTTTATTCCATGTTAATCAACTGATTTTAAACAATTTGTCCTGTAAACACAGAAATAATGAATCAAATTCTTGCTAAAACAAACCTTACTATTTACATTTATTTATATAATTTTGTATTATACAATCATGATTTCAAATTTCTACTTTCTACAGAAAAAGAAAAGGACAAAGCAGAAAAATCCTCATCATCATCAGAATCAAGTTCAGACAGCAGTTCCTCAGACTCTGAAGTGGAAATTAGGTCTAAGACAGAAAAGACTAGCAAGAAAAAGAAGAACAAGAAAAAAGCCAAAAAGAAGAAGAAGAAGGACCTTAAGAAGGAGAAACGGGAAGAGGATAAATTGAAAAAGGTATTGAATTGTGTTCAAAATTGAATAGGAAGGCATGGGGGGAGAGGGTGTTCAGCTGTATGTTGTGGCTGATATGATAATTAATTGCGTCTATCTTTAGGAAATAAGTGTGAACTTTAAGATTACATTTTTATTTTTGCACTAACAGGCTCTAGAGATGGAAGAAAGGCAACAAAAACGTGCAGATTATCTTCTTTCGGTAGACGAGAGGAAACGTCCGTACAACAGTATGTACGAAGTAAAGGCACCCACAGAAGATGAACTGGAGGCGTATAAAATGAAGAAGAGGCGCGAAGAGGACCCTATGAGCCAATTCCTATGATCATAATTGTAAATAAGTTTAATAAAATATAAATTAATATAAAACATTTGTTTTTATCGCCTCATCGCAATCATAAATAGTGAAAATTGAGTATAAAGCTCAGCGGCGCAGTGACTTACGGCAAACATGCTTTAAACAAAAAACGCTTTGTTGTTTACCTTCAACGCTTGTGAATCATGCAATTTTATCCAATGAGGTCATAAATGTGGCAGAATAGAAATTTCCTATGCCAATTTTAAAGTTTGCAATTAAAATACATCTGGTGTTACCAATAGAAAATATACATGTGTTAATAATACTATAAAATGGGTTACAAATGCTTTTGTGAGTGCATTGAGATTGACTCTAATAGCAGAAAGTTAAGAGAAAAAATATTTCTTATGAGAATTCTGTTAAGCAAAGAAGTATTTAGTTCCATGTCTAACTAGAATCCAACAAAAAATTACCATTTTTGGTAGATTTTTCAATTCGCTAACGCCGCCATATTTGTTGAAATGTCAAACGATGTTTCACTCTTGTCATTTTTCATTTCCTTTTTGATTAGTGGACCGTCCTATTCATAGTTTTTGTGATTGTTACAATAAATAAAGAGTAATGATGGCTGAAGACACGACAGCCGACGCGACGAGGCGACTGAACGTGAAGAAGCAGACCCTGGATGATGCCTACGCGGCACCGGCTAACTTCCTAGAAATCGACGTCGTGAACCCAGTCACGACCATGGGAGTAGGGAAAAAACGTTACACGGATTATGAAGTTCGTATGAGGGTAAGCTGCCGACTCTATTATTGTCATCTAATTAGATTAACGGCCGCTATCGACGCGGCAACGAGAATTAGTGGGCGTATCTCGGTGGGTCGCGACAGTACGCCGATACGATGAGATTATTCTAGCAAACCAAGTTTTTTCCTTTCAGACAAACCTGCCAGTGTTTAAAGTAAAAGAATCCAGCGTGAGACGGCGGTACAGCGATTTTGAATGGCTTAGAAACGAATTGGAAAGAGACAGTAAGGTAAGTCCAACATAATTTGATGATTGATAAAGAGTTCATGTTTTTCGTCTGTTATCAGTGAACAAAAATGTTTATTGTTACGTATGATTCATTTATGAGCAAGCTCTCTATTAATTTGATATGTTAACATGTTGTTTTTATGTAGCATGTTTATAATTTTTGGTATATTTTATTTCTATGCTAGTTTTGTTTACAAAATATGAGTAAGAATGTGAAACAATTGGCTTATACACATTTAAAAAGAAAGGGCACTGAACTGGTGACATTCAAATGATTACACATTGATTGCATTTTGCAGTTTGAAACAGAGAAGAACTCAAAACTTGTAACTTTCATCATTTTGTATTATATATGCACACATAGTAACAAATTAAATGTGTAATAATTGCCTGGTTACATGCTACCATCATATTCTGTATCTAAATATGGTTTGAGGTAAACACATAGATTGTGTTTCTATAGTAATCTAGAGTTATACTCTCTTTCCAATACAATAACTTGATGAATTAAATAATGTGGGATACCGATGCATCACTAAAGGAAGCATGACTCACCACTGTCACATTATCAACTCAATGTAAAACATTGATTTTAATTAACATTTACTACTCTTGACCTTTGTAGCATATAACAAAACAATAAAATTATATAAAAATAAATATGAATGAGTCATAACAAATTATTTTATGTATTTAATGTAAAATAGTAAATAAGTAACAATTTTTATTGTTTAACTGTATAATGTCTTGGCTTGTTCTGTAAAATTATACATGTGCTTATAAATAAATAAATAAATGAATACTTTTTTGTAGATTGTGGTTCCGCCCCTACCTGGTAAAGCCCTCAAAAGACAACTACCATTCCGTGGAGACGATGGTATATTCGAAGAGGAATTTATTGAGGATCGTAGAAAAGGTATGTTTGAATATTGGAATCTATAGTTTATATCTATTTTATAAATGTGAAAGTTTAATTATAGTTAGTAAGTTATAGTTATTTATAGTGGTATATTATAGTTAGTATTAGTTAAAACATCTTTGCCTATTGAATGAAAACTTAAATATAATAGATAATAGTCAATAACATTATAGGATACCTTTTTCCTGCAGAAGTGAATCAGATATGTAATATTGACTGTGCCTAGCAGGAATATCACCAAAAACTAGATACAACTAATACATTTAAAATCTGAATAAGGATAAAATTCAGAGGGCAATCATCAATGTTAAATAGCAACACTATTAGGTGTAACTAATATAACCTTGACTCTTGGTATTTAAAAACTTGTAAACAGAAAAAACAAAAGAACAGTTAAAGCCATACATTATCATTAAGACAAATATTTTTGTGCTAAAAACAATATGTTATTGGAATGGCCATATTTGTTACTTAATGCTAAATGAGATATTCATGTATCAATTATTTCTTGATTGTGTTCTTTCCTACATTTTTATTGGTAATAGAAAATATACAATAGACATATCTTAGATTTGGTGAAACAATGAGAGAAATTGTTTATTTATTTTTTTTTTAAATTCAGCCTCATAGTAAAGTTTCGATACTGGTTGAACCTGCACATTAAATCTGTTAATACATACATGCTAGGATCTCTGTATCTAGCAATAAGTTATTAAAACCATTTACTCATATGCAACATTGCATTGCAACAGCTAATTATGTTAATTTGAATGCATCATGCATTATTTACTGTTTTTATTAAGTTAATCTTTATCTGGTTGATCAAGTACAGGTCTATTCTCTATAAATTTATTGAATGACTAATATTATCTTGATTTAAACATATAAACTTCTCCTTTATCTTTATGAATGAGATATTTTGTGTCTCAATACATTTTGATAACGAACTTTGATATTGTTAAACAATGTATTTTGATTCTTATATGAAACTGCTCTCTGCTCTCACAGGCCATTTTTCTTTATAATTATTTTCTTTATCTATAAAAGTTATTTGTATAAGTAATATTTGTAACAAATAGTGTCTTTTGCTAACAGCATAAATACTTTGAAAATGTGCCAAAATAAAAATAGTTGTACCAGACAAATTATCATAACAGTGTCTCCCATTGTAAGGGGCAATGCATACGTGTAATTTATTAGCTTGTTTGTCTATGCTAAGGGGTCACTCTGTTATTGAAAATTTAACCTTTATCTAATACTTGCTACTTCTGCACGGCTTCACGGTTTCACTCGCTTTACTCGGTTCCTATTGATCGTAGTCTGTGAAGCGTAGATCGTGATCGTTTTTAGCCTATAGCCTTCCTCAATAAGTGGACTATCCAACACAAAAAGAATTGTAAAATCGATCTAGCAGTTTCTGAGATTAGTGCGTTCAGACAAATAACTCTTCAGCTGTATACAATAATAGTGTATTTCCTATTTCTCAAGAGACATGATTATGACGCGCAATTTGCCATCTCAGGTTGGGCGGCTCCTCGTCCTCCTCTTAAATCCTTCTCTAAAACTCTCTTAAACTTCCATGCCCTAACCAGATACTCAAGTCTCCTCCTACTCATAGGGATGGCATACCCCCTGTTCAGCATTGTTCTAATCCTAATGACATTTGAAAGCTATCACTATTTAATATACTTAAAAGGGTTTTATCAAAAGATTTAAAGCATTCAATTTTTTACATATCAACATGTATATGAAGTAACTGCAGATAAATAAAATGGAGGTCTTTCAACTTACATAAGGGTCAATAACATTAAATGTGGACACACACACAGTTGTGATTTTAATAACTTTTGGTACAGTAATACCTTTTTACCAATAGTTTACGATTTTTCATATAGGTCCCCCTCTGACAGCATGTGATTCTTACAAAAAAAAAATAAAAGCTTAAAAAAACAATCAGTCGCCTCTTCCTATCTCCACCCTTGCATGTTCCACTTAATTTATGTGTTGTGTGCACACAAACGAAACCATAAATTGATCGAGTCAGATTGCGTGCGAACTGTGAAGATCTATCAGTATTCGAATTTAACTGCACGAAAAATATAGAGATAATACTCGATACTTTAACCGAAGAATACTTCAAATTACGTAGTTTTTGTAATACGAATACATTATTTATTACTAAAATGTATGAAGTATTTGTATCACCCTATGAAAATTAGTTTGGTAACATATTTTTTAATGTTTTGAGTAATATATAGAAGGGTGATGAAGACCTTTAAAATAATGGTAACGATATCTTATTCATTTAAAGAAGTCGTAGAAAGTTTGAATGACTGCTCAAGCCATACGATAGTGTTATTTAATTTGATATAAACTTTATTTATAGGGCAGTAGGAGTTACTTTTGTAATACCAGAAAGATTTACTGCATATTCTATATGTATTGAATGCTTATTTGGCATTATTTTTATTGCATGCAGATGTAGGTGAAGTAAAAAATCAATATAATGCCTCATTGGGTTAGTGGTTGAAAGAGCGACTATGTTACCGTAGTCAGGCAGGTAAAATATTAACTTCCTAAACTCAATAAAAATGAATTACCGTTGGTTAGTATTGCGAAATCTCGAGAACGGCTGAACCGATTTAATTAACTTTAGTATTGAAATATTCGTGGAAGGTTTAAAAGGTGAGAAAAAACCGATACGAAGAAGAAGGTTTGAAAACGTTCAAGAAAAGAGCGTATTCCTTTTTAAAAGGCCGGAAAACTGTGACTTTTCTAGTGTTGCGGGTGTCCATGGGCGGCGCTGATTGTCTGATGATCCGTCTGCCCGTTTGACTCCTATTCCATAAAAAAAATTATGCGGTACGATGTTTGCCGGGAAGCTAGTAGAACAATAAGTTCTATTGCTGAAGAACCACCTCTAATAAGATCCAATGGTGGCTTGGAATCATCTCCAACCTAACTGCCATCAGTTAGGCAACATAAAGTTCATAGTACCCATAATACGCACCCTATGGGGTTTTGTGTAATGATACTTAACTTTTTATAGCCCTATTTTTTTATAATCTGTTAGAAATGTATAACATAAATTAGGGTGAGTGAAGTGGGCGGTACTTCTTCGAATAATTATTATGCGTGAGCGTGGCGTTATGTTAGTATCAATATTTTTTTATCTTGCGGATATTAAGCCTTCTATAATTTACATACGATAAAACAATTTTATCTTGGAAATATCTTGATTTTTTAGACAACAATTATAATTACATATAGCTTTAATATATTTTGAATATTCTCGCTATAACTTATATTCTAGTACCTACTTATTATCCTACTTGTACTGTCTTGTATTGACGTCAGTTCGAACGATGTAGTTATGTATATTTGTATAAGCTTCATGGTTTTCCTGACCAGCCTATAGATAAGAAAATGGTTTTAAAATTGAAACTATTTTCCTTAATTTGGGTCACAATTATTGTTATCGTTATACATTCAAAGAAATTGTTATTGCGGAAATTCCAATAATGACATGTGGTTGTTGTAACTTATTATAATTGCATTAAACTGTCAAACACCAAGCGGTCACCGGTGACCGCAACCTATTGTTCTTTAATTGTGTCTATAATGACGGTGCTCGACGAGTTAATTAATTATCCGATGTTACCTACTGGTAAATTACTATTTTCCCTATTACTTATAAACATAAGAACTTAATAATGATGCATGTCAATTCACCATTTCGGGAAGCACTGATCGAGACATTTAAACAGTTCTTTGTATAAATAATTATGTTTCCGGCTTACTCACGTAACTGTTTGACGAGGAACTCGACTAGTTTCAAGCCATGCTAGAGCCTCATATCATTTAGTGTCTCACGAAAGTTTTAATATAAACAAAGTTCTTTGTATCTTCAAGAACAGTGTAATACGACACATAACATAACATCACGCCTTTTATCTCCGAAGGGGTAGGCAGAGGTGTACATTATGCCGCTGTACAATGTAACACCCAATTTTCACTATTTATGTTATGATTACCATGTAATATGGGGTTAACCTTTTGCCATATACCGGGCACAATTCCAGACTACGTGCTACTACTGAGAATTTATAAAAAACCCAGTAATACTTTGCCCGATCCGGGAATCGAACCCGAGACCTCTTGCCCGGCAGTCCCTTGCGACCACTCGGCCAACGAGGCAGTCAATAATATGACCTATTCAATATATTTAACTCCAAGCCACGTATTATCTTCTGAAAGTTTTCAACCGATTTCAAAATAAAGGAGGAGGTTCCCAATTCGACTGTATTTATAGTATAGAACGACAAACTTTAATATTCAGGCTCACTATATGCAATGAAAACATAGCTAATTAAAAATAATGATAGTATAGCAATCCATGTGCACCACGAAGTTACTAATTACCTCTTAGGGATGTAATTTACTACAACGACCATAGTGTATAGTTTTTCAAGATATTTTTTATATGTATTGAGATAAACGTTCGTCCAGCCGCTGCGTCAACTGTGCAGTCCAATCTGTAGTTAACAACTTTTTTCAATTTCAACAAAATCATTAACAAAAGTCTACAGCTGAATCTTATAGAGAACCTAACGGGTAACCGGGGCTCCGGCTCGACGTGCAGGAGAAGGAACGGGGTGGTTTTTAGTCAGTAAGAGTCTGACACTCCCTTCCGCCTCACCTAGGCGGGAGCAGTCATTCGATGATTTTCCCCCCTTAAAAAAAATACTTTACTTCATTATCTTATATATTATACTTATATAAAGCTTAAGAGTTTGTTCGTATGATTGTTTGTGTGTTTGTTTGTTTGAACGCGCTAATCTTCAAAACTACTGGTCCGATTTGGATAATTCTTTTTGTGTTGGTTAGCCCATTTATCGAGGAAGGCTATAGGCTATAAAACATCGCGATACGATCAATAGGCGCTCAGCAAAGCGGGTGAAAACGCGCGACACTAGCTAGTTAGTTAATAAAATTCGTAGCATGTATGTAACTGAAATTCAGATAAAGCGTCCAAAGCGAATTTCATTACAGTTTCGTATTAACATTATCAGCGATACGACGCTATCTCGCCTTGTATTTGATGTATTATATTAAAATTTGTACATAATATTTGACGCCATCTGATATCGAACGCTGGTCGTAAAACTGGGCGGATACATTTTTTACCAGTAATTTGTATTTCACTATTATTGTCAAAATTAATTATGCTAATTCTGCCCGCGGGTTCTCTTGCGTGTAGGCTGTAGGGTTCCATTGCTCTAGGAATATCGGAATTAAAAATCTACTTATATTTTTCTCTGAATTATTTTAATAATAAAATAATTTTAATTTGTCATCTGTATAGATACATATTTGTTTTTTTATTTATTTGAATGAAAATCCTATGATCATAGCAATCGGAAGTATTTTTTAATTCTTATCATTTACTTTCACAGTTAAAACTTCAGATCTTATGATTAGATAACTATTACAATTTTATCAGCACGATAACGTTGTAAGTGTATTAACGATAAGCTGTTTAATTTATTTGTTTTTTCGAAGTAGCCTTCATATAGCATCATCAACAACCTATAAATGCCCACTGCTGAGCAAAGCCTCTTCTCACAGGAGGTTTGGGCATTAATCACCACGGTTGCTCAATGCGGGTTGACGATTTGAAACTTATAATATGAAATTATAAGCCCAGGTTTCCTCACGATGTTTTCCTTCACCGTTTGCCAGTGGTGTCTGAATAATCTTAGAAAGTACATATAACTCGGAAAAAGTCACATTGGTACTTGCCGTGGTAGGTTTCGAACCCGCACCCTCATGCATGAGAAGTGGGTGTCTTAAACCTCATATAGATGAGTCGTGTTGTGGTGGCCCGGTGTCATAACAGTACATAAAAAAGACATAATTATTTGTCCAATGCGAGACAGACGTGCAGAAATTCAATAAACATTCGACTACTTTACAATTGTGTTATTTCGTCTTTTAAAACATTATTTATTAAATTTCCAGGTCTGGAAGTATTCATCAACAAGATAGCCGGCCACCCGTTGGCGCAGAACGAGCGGTGCCTTCACATGTTCCTCCAGGAGCCCACTATAGACAAGAGCTATGTCCCCGGAAAGATACGAAACACATAATAGACAATACCGGAAACAGATGCGAGCTTCGAACTTTAAAACCAACCTCCTTGTGTCACCGTATTGGCCTATTACCAAAAAGGTTTTGGACTCGTGTTATAGTTCCCCTTGTTAAACGTGATGTTGATGTTATGTGTTATGTATGTGCGTTCGTAATTGCAAATTCACGCGCACATCGACCTTGTGTGTGACCCCAGTCAATATCTTCACTATTTACAAGGTTCGCAGCTACACAGATTATTCCTATAACAAATGTATGTTGATTGTGTCAAAATATATGAATTTGATTAGTGAAAGTGTTTATGGTGACATAAATTCTGTCTGGTACACGGAGGAGTCAGGTACAGGCGTCTGTGTTGCAATGTGTTACGTAATAAATAGACAGCTAAAAGACAACAGGTATTGAATGTTGATAGGCCAGTCTCTCCACCAAGTGAGTAGTTTTAAAGTTCCTCCCGAATGTTATTGCAGTTGTGACATACAAATATCAATACCTTGCCTTCTAGTTTTTGTTATGAAACACAATTTGCAATAATCTTCAGTGATTACAATATAAATTATCTTAAGGTAATGCAAACTATTTGAGACGACAACATTACACAGCACAGCATTCCACAGATTATATTTTATAAAAAAAAGAAAATGCTCTTTTTCATTTTTTAAAAATGGAACAGTGAACGACTCGAGGTGCATAATGTTTCGCAGTATATAATGTATTAGAACAAAAATAAGTTATTGTTTAAATGATGAAGCAATATAATTGGGGATTGTTGAAATTATTAGTAAATCGATCAAGCTCATAATTTGGTCACTGTTTTGTGGTTTGCCTTGTATATTTGGACATGTAATGCATTATAAATCTCATTATTTTAATGGCTAATTCATTTTTATAATTTCGTTAAGGAAATTGTTTGTATTTATTGTGTGTTACTCTATGGGTAGATGTAAAGATGTGTTAACGGCTGAGCAGTTTTGTATAAAATTGTAATGCACCGTTAGTGCGTTAAAAGAGCGAAAGTTAAAAATAATCTGAATAACATAGATGTAAATTAGGTAATAGTTTAAAAACGTGTTTCTTTATTTACAGGGGTGATCAGAAGTTTGGCAATATTATTTATAGAAATGGAAAAAAATGATTTCAGATAAGGAATGACACTGAGCCTTTTTGGTGTACAAAAATAAATAAAAAGAGTTAGCTTTATATCACTAGCTATAAAGTGTGTCCATCATTAGATAATAATCGACTGTTTAGTTACACAGAAGTATAATTTACATGTATTTTCGTTGTACACCAAATAAAATTGGAATACAATGTATTATGTCTATCGTATTAGGATAAATAAATTTGCTATCATGTCATTGCGTGTTTTAATTCGTAAAGCTATTAATTAATTTTTATTTCGACCATGTTTTTCTACTTTGCGAATGAGTTTATGGTCCTATTTCAAGCGATATTCTATTTGAGACATTAATAAACACTCTCTTGGTCAGTAGATCTTAAGCTACACTAGCGCCTCTAGTGGCGCAAAAGCACTAATTAACAAATGACTAAAATGATCTGTCTATAGTCAGAATTTTAATTAGATTCCAGATTTGACAATAGCTACTGTCATTTTGTGAAATAATGATACCACATATAATAGTGTAGTGATGCACACAAAAATCGATAAACAATCAGTGTGTGTGTTTTATAATAAATGTTACAGAAAGTGACAGGATAGCGACAGCGATGACGGCGAAAATTTATAAAATAACTTATTACCATAATACATCTATTTGTTTTATTTGTCATGTTCCTTCATGATTACATTTCTTCATTTATTTCACACAGTTATAAAAGAAAAGTCTCAGATCGTTAATTAATCGTCAAAACTAAATTATCGGTTCAGAAATATTTAATTTCCTGATATATTTAGTTTACGAGACTAAAATTATAAACGAGAAAAATCGATCCAGAATTTTTGCATATCCATATCGAATAATTTCGCAACGTCACTATTTAGTACTTGTCATAACGTTGCAACACTGAAATTGTCAAATCTGGAATCGAATTAAAATTCCGAGTATACGAACAATACGCAATAGGTACAAATTGCTTACACTCAGATCACAAGCACAACTCAGATTTACTGTTAACTCATAATTATTTATTTAATGTAATTAGGAATTACATACAAAAACAATTAATTAGCGCTAGGTTCGTGTGTGTCGGACTTGGTTTCCCCGGCGAGGAAGCGACTGTTCCCGCCGTTGGGTAGGGATTCTTCCTGCCGCCACAGCTTCTGACCGCGGATTTCTATCTCTTCATGCCATGCTTCTTGCGTTTTCCTGTATTTTAACAAACATTAGCTAACATTACAGTGGCTAGGCTTTTGTGGTTGGTGACAAGTGAATTTATTTTTGCAAATAGGCTACAATGCACTTCAATGCAGCACTTTCACGCGTCAATTTTTCAAACGAACGATGAGGTCGACATCTTCTAACTGATTACTCTGAGAAGTAATGCTGAAACAAACTTAGGGGTCCTGTCCAGACAAGAATTTATATAAACGACGTAATTTTATGTACTTTAATGTGCATGGAACACATTGAGTGCGGTGAATACACAATAGGTATCTGCAGTTAATCCAAATTCTGCCTCAATTGACGCTTAACTGAGCAATGTATAATCTTTGTTCAGGTGTCTATACAGGCACCGTCACATCGAGATATTTCACGTCTACAGTTTCAACCTTATTTGTATTAGAAATAAAGATCGAAAATCCATTAAACAACTTCAGTAAGTTAATATTTTAGCGTTCATAATGACCTGCAGTTGTCAGTGAGCGGGCTGGTGTTAGGGAATACATTCTGCAACATAAGTAGACAGGGCAGCACCACCACGGACAGGAACTGGATCTGTTCCGCCGGCTGGTTGATGCTGCGGCGCCGGTCCATCATACTCAGCGGGGTGTAGCCCATCGCACGCTCGCGGTCACCCTGCGGGGAGGTATTATGGTGACAGTTGGATGGTTCTAGGGAGACTATTCAATTTTTGTCGCCTTTACCGACTTTTAACCCTATCTCGTTATATTTTTCTGGAATGTATTTATGTAGGTATGTAGAAAACGAATGTCTGGTCTGAACTGCAAAAATTGAATGAAAATAATAACTACCATTGTACAAATTTTTACTTCAAAAATAAAATCTACCATTGTACTCAAATTACTATTACAATGTTTACAATTTTTTTTGTGTGTGCAATAAAGTATAAATAAATAAATAAAACGACGATAGATGAAAAAGGGGCTTATATCATGTAGAACTTTCATTCTAGGTTTTTTATACGACAAAATGGTAACCTGTTCATAAAATTCTTCATACACGGACTCTGCTATCGCCTTCGATATGCCGAACGGTTTGCAGCTTCCAGACAGGTCACTCGTTGTCATAAGTATACCCTGAATATCGTAACTTATATTAAACCAAACAAAATAAACATCAAAGATTATCTGACGAATTCTGTGTAAACGAAAAGAAAAATAATCAAAGTACACGGAACATAGAAATGAAATCGTTTATTTGTAAACATGTTGACGGACACAACACAACATTAAACATAGTTGTTGGAGTTTAATAGAACAAGGATAGTTGTAAGATATGAGCTTTTTTATGGGATTTTTTTAAAAGGGGAAAATCATCGAATCACTGCTCCCGCCTGGGTGAGGCGGGAGGGAGTGTCAGACTCTTACTGACTAAAAACCACCCCGTTCCTTCTCCTGCACGTCGAGCCGGAGCCCCGGTTACCCGTTAGGTTCTCCGCGACTCCGAATCGGCATCGGCACTATTGGGCCCCATCTGTGGTGGTCTGATGGCTCTTTGACGCGCGCGGAACGCGACGCGCCGTACGCTTTTTTTATGGGATAAGCCGGTAAACAGACGGACCGCCTAATGGTAAGTAATCGGCGTCGCCCATGGACACCCGGAACACCACCAGTTACAAGTGCGTTACCGGCCTTTGGGAGATTTGGAATATGAGGATTCAGAGATTGGGGAAGAGGGGGGTGGGGGGAGTTGGGCCTCCGGCAACCTTATTCGCGTAAAGAAACCAACGCAAATGTTTTTTCACGTCGGTTTTCTGCTCGGCCGTGATATCACTACAGTCGAGCCAGCCCACTCCACACTTAAAAACATTCGAGATTATTCTCACAACCAATGATAAGTAGAGCCGCTATCGAGGGCTCCATACAGAATAGCCTAACTGTTCTACTTCGTATTTTCCATCAGTCTTACAAGTGATGTGATTGTGGGTGAAGAGTGCGAAAGGCAATTATTTATGTAACCAGATAAAACAATAAAATAGTCTGACCTACAGTCACTTTAACAGTCGCTTGTACCTTGAGCATCCGTCGATGTGAGTTGTCAGTCCAGTCGAAGATTCTCTCTGCCAGTAGCGGCGTGAGCTGCGCCCTGATCTGGAAGTAGATGGCCAGGTCCGTGCACAGGATGTTGTACTTTATCTCCTCCATGATTCGGTGCTGGTCGCTTAGTGTCATTCTGCTTAGGATCTTTTTGTCCTGAAAAAATTAATGAAACAGATATTTATTTACTAGATATGTTTTAACTGCATGGTTACCTACTTTCATTAATCGTCATTAAAAGTGAGAAAGGGATATTTACACGTAGGTAAAAAACTGGGTTGTTTTTAGTCAGTACGAGTCTGGACCCAGGTGGGAAAAGTCATTTGATGATTCTCCCCCCCCCCCCTCAAACAACACGCATGTAAACAAATGTGGATAATAATTGTGTGTTGGTTTTATTGGCAAGTTTGTTGTATTGGATATTTGGATTGATTTTAATTAGCAGCGAGCCCATTCACTGCTTTTATACTACAAGAATGTGTTATCCTGAATCTGCACTGCCTAGGTTAAAAGCGTTATGATCTTGTATATTTTTATCTTCTTTCAAATTCGAATGAAAATCTATAGAACGAGTAATATTGTTACGCTAGTCCAGGGCTGTCCAAACTACGTACCCTCGCGGGCTAATTTAACTTCTAACAAAAGCTGGAGGGCCAGAAAAATATTTTCACGTTGTACAATGAAGTTTAACATTGTATTCTTTACTCATAGACAAAATTTGTATACAAATCATACACTGAATTTTATTATTGTTGTTGCACATAAGATGAAGATGATGAGATTAAAACATGTGTCGCGGGCCACATGAATCAGGCCGTGGGCCGCATGCGGCCCGGCCTTTGTTTGGACAGCCCTGCGCTAGTCCAATAACATTTACCTCAATAATCTTCTTGGCGAGGAAGTAGTGATGGTTCTCGAGCGTGGATGTCCTGTACATGTTGGCGAGCGGATGCTTGCAGAGCGTGAGGAAGTTGTTGTTGAACCCAGGGTGGTCCAGGTCGTGGCACAGACCCGCCAGCATCAACGATATTGTCTGAACAGAACACATCGGAGATATTGGTAGGGAGATGAAAGATGACAATTTGCCGTTCTAATCAACACTGTACCTACCAGTTGCACATAAGATTGGTTAAATATCTGCAACTAATTTCAAATGACTGCCTCGTTGGCCGAGTGGTCGCAAGTGCGACTGCCGGTTCGATTCCCGGGTCGGGCAAAGTATTACTAGGTTTTTAAAAATTCTCAGTAGAAGCACGGACCCTGGAACTGTGCCCGGTATATGGCAATAGGCTCACCCCCTATTACATGGGGCTCATAACATAGTGAAAAGTAGGTGTTACATTGTATCTACAGTGGTATAATGTGTACCTCTGCCTACCCCTTAGAGGATAAAAGGCGTGATGTTATGTTATGTAACTTCAAGTCTTTACTCCTGCCGATAAGTGTCATATTTGTTTACTTAAACTTTAAACTTGAAGGCACGGTTGGTGCGGTGGCTGCACCAAACATCGCGCAACGTGTAGCGCGATCGATTCCCGCACGGAACAACTCTATGTGATCCACAGATTGCTGTTTCGGGTACGGGTGTCATGTGTATGTGAATTTGTATGTTCACGATACAGGAGAAAAGCATTGCGTAGGGCAAAGATTTCTTAAAAAAATTGTACCCAGGCACTACCTATTCACTTAATCTACTATTAAATATACATCCAACTAAAGAACTACCCAGAAAATAAAACAAAACATTGGAAATACCTCAACAAAATCGAAGTATCCAGGGTTATTCAACAGTATGAGATACATGGTGTGTGTGAAACAGAAGGCGTGCTCAGCGTTATGGTAGGGGTTCTCCCGGTAACTGCAGAGTACAGACAGTAGGAAGTCCGCCATTGCTATCTTGTCGAAGTTCCTGTTCGTGAACGTCTCGGAGAACATTATCCAGACGAGACTTGGCATGTC